ACATTTGAAGAGGCCTTATGTTATATATAATTCTTGTTGTATTGCTTTCTCTCTTCTTTTTCTTTCTTTTTTCACACACACACACACACACACACACACACCCCTCCAGAAGATATTATAGAGATCAGGGGCTGCCTGTGGACTTCCAACACCCCAGTTGTGCACCACCTCCACCCCAGCAACCTCAGATCACCCCATCAAAATTCATTAGCAAAATTGCTAAACTGAGGTGACCCAAAATTCATCGGTTTTACTGGCTTGGAGGTGATTTTCAAGGTGGGAATGGGAACCGTTTGTCTCTAGGACTCATCCAATTCCTGTCTCCACCCCTAAAATTTTACTAGTACTGGACTCTGTCAGTTGTGCATTTATAAATTCATTCTATTCTGACACTAATCTGGCTTTGTTTTGTTTTAATTCAGAGATATGTAAAATCCAAACACCAATGGCATTTCTATCCATGTATTAGTCTAGGATGCCCAATCATATTCTGAGGCCCTCTGGATGTGCTGGACCTGCAACTTAAAAAATTCCCAGCAATTTGAGTTAAATCAGACCTCCAGAAAATCCACGGGTCTACCTGGGATGTATTTCTCTAGCTTAAGAAAAAAACCATATGTACACTGATCTTTAACAAGAGAAAGAATTAAGAGCTTGTTATCCCACACTGTGATTATTTCTCTCTCTCTCTCTTTAGTTCTGCATTTATTTCACAATTCTTTCCCATTTCGGTGGAGGAAAGGACTCCTAGCATCTTTTTTGCAAGCCCCAGAGGTCCCCCCTGAGATCGCATCATCGGTCAGTAGCCAATCACTGAACTACAGTACCATAATTTGCCACAGAAACCAAAAATAAGCGATCAATCGGTACATAGCTAATGGGTGTCTGCATTTAGGTGTGTCAGAAATGAGACACGATACAAAAACTGACTCACCACAGCGATCGCGGACAACCAGGTTCCTGCCTTCTTTCAGGTGTATCATCAACAGATATGCAAAGGAACTGGGCTTGCTCAAGCCATCATTGCCTCCCTCGAGAGTCTAGGAAAATGTTTTGAAAAAAAGGAAGTCCGCTGTCAGTTTCACTTTCCCTAAAGAGCCAGCACAGACCATGTTCAGTCGCCCTTCTAAGAACTGCCAAAGCCAAATTCCATGTGGACTCAACTCTTGATTTGGCCACAAGGAAGGGCCACTGAGCCAACCATCACCCACCTCCCCTTCCCTGCTCCATTGTTTGTTCCTTCACTTCCAGGACTGCATAAGCAATAGTTGGCCTCCAAACAAACAGGAAAGTCACAACCTAAAGTGGTCAGACGCCAACATCTCATGGACTTGGTCTGTGAGCCAAGCCACTGAAGTCCACCCCAAGACTGAGGAAAGAAACTGAAGGTGGTTTGGTATGAACCTAGGTCCACAGTCATAACATTTACGAAACAAGCTCGCCTTTTCGATCGCATGCTTTGCCACGGGCTGACCACACCATAAGTATCACTGATTTGTAAGACGGATGAACCACCCCAATCCAAGAGACGCCAGGCTTTGCGCAAAAGAACCTGAGAGATTTCTCTGTGGTGGGACCCCAATTTATGGAATTGCCTCCCCAACAGGTTCACCTGGCACCCCCATTAGCCTCATTTTGGTGCTAGGTGAAACCCTTTCTATTTTCCCAGGTCTTTTAACTGGCTTTTCATTGTACTTTGATTTGGATTGTTTTGGATTCTGAATGACTGCCTTGCTGCTACGTAATTTCTATGCTGATTTTATTTTGCCTTTTCTTCGATTTTATTATGTATGTTTTTATTCAGATTTTATCTCTTAAGTGTGTTTGATTGTAAACTGCCCAGAGAGCTTTGGCTATGGGGCAGTGTGAACATTTTGATAAATAAATCAATCCCTACAAAGTCTACAGATTTGGCTCTGTATATTGATAATAGCTGTCAGGGTATTTCATGCCTCTTACTGAAAATCACCTACAATAGCCTCCTTAGGAAAATGGCAGACTAAACTGTGGGACCATGCATCAATGTCTAAGGCAAAATTTAATTCAACTTAAATATTATCCATGGGCTATAACCTGACATATTGGCTTACAACACATCCAAATTTGTGTGTCTCAACATACGGCCGTCATATGTTAGCTCTGGCCTAAGTTGTTAAATAAGCTTAGATCTTTTTAGATCAGGTAGAAACTTTGCCTAATTGTTTATTTTGAATTAAGACTCACATTACACAGTCTATCTTTGTTCATGGTTAAATACTGACTTGATTTTAATACTGGTTTTGACCACTTCGATATGCAGCACTGATCTAGTGTTACTTCAAAAATCTCGCTCCATCTTATAGAGTTTGTAAATCTCTTTATTGTTTTCTTTTTGCTTTTCTCTCTTTTTTTCCCGGATTATGCTTTGAAATACCTATTAAATAAATAAAGGCATAGGGAATGCCTCTGATTTCATATTTTTTTCCGTGTTTTCCACAGGACTTGCCCCCAGTCTGCCACTCTGACCTCTCAGAAAAAATGCACGATGGAAATACAAGAAATAATCAAATCATTTCTATTGCTAAAATTGTCCAATGTGGCTGTTAAAGAGTCTAGAACAACATTTCTCAACCTTGGCACCTTGATCCGTGTATGGGGGGTTGCGTGTTCGCAGGATACTTCTTCCGTCGCTAGGTGGCGGGTGGTGTGGG